CCCATGGTTAGTTCTCTTCCCGTGTTGTCCCCTCCCAGTTTGGCATTCATGTCGCCCATCAGAATTTTGATATCGCCAACTGACGTCTTGTCCAGTGTTGATTGAAGTTGTCTGTAGAAATCCTCCTTTTTCTCTTGCTCTGCATTATTTGTAGGTGCATAACATTGTATGATTGTGACCTTTCTTCCTTTTGAGTTGAATCTTGCTGTCATGATCCTGGAGGAGATTGGTTCCCACTGCATGAGAGCCTTCGATGCTCTTGAGGACATCATGATAGCCACTCCCTCAGTGTGCTCGTGGTTGGCGTCTTGGTGACCGGAGTAGATTATTGATTCTCCAGTTGACAGTTTGGAGAGTCCACTCCCATTCCATCTGCTTTTGCAGATTCCTAACATTTCAGTGCGATACCTTCTCATCTTCTTTGCAATCTGTGCAGCCTTACTAGGTTGAAACTTGGTGCAGACATTCCATATCCCCACGTTTACTTTCGCTCTTATCGAGAGAAGTGTAGACAAATCGGCCTATTGGCTTCCCGAAGGCTTTCACCAACTGGCGTCATTTCGCCTCTCCGATTCCAGCGGGGAATAAGTTTGTTTTCATTTTTTATATTTTGTTTGTGCTTTGAAGTTTGTTTAGCGGTTAGATTTGTTTTACGGGGTAGGGTTGCTAGCCCTATGCCCAACCTTCCCTCTTTACCCGCGCTTAGGACCGGCTAGTAACTAGTAAACTAGTTAACCAGGCGAGGTTAATAATCTTTTTAGACAATGAAAATAATGAGAGAGCTAAGAAGTTTGATAAGGTGATAACTATCGGTAGGTATGAAATGCAAAGATTAATTGTCCACACGGTAGATATGAAGGAGGTGTAGAAAGAAACAACAATAAACTAACGAATGACAATGAAATCGACCATCGTAAGGTAACAGGTTGAATATACTTCTTCTGTAAGCAGAAATCAGGCTTGAATTGGTGAATTACCAGTGCTTCTGCTGTGGACAACTGAGCACTCCTTTTGAACTGATTGGATTGAAGGAGGACGCTGGTGAAGCTTTATGTCCACAGTTGACCAAATGTTCAAAACTTGAACTGTTAATTGATTTCTATTCTTCATTTTGACAACCATGAAGGAAAGTTAATGATGGATCGTGGCTAGCAGTGGAATCTAGGATGCACACTTAGTCCTATTTGGGACTCGTCAGCTGGATGTACCTGCTTCCCAGTGAGTGTTGTTCACGCCGGGATTAGAGCGTTTGGAGTGATCGCTCCCGAGTCCGAATCCCGGTGGGAACGACATCACTCACTGGGAAGCAGGTACATCCAGCTGACGAGTCTCAAATAGGACGAAATGCGCATCCTGGATTCCACTGCTAGCCACGATCCATCATTAACATAATTAGAACACTGGCAATATTGAGGCATCAGCACAGGAGCCCATATGACAACAGAGACTGATCAATTCGGTCCAATCAACGACGGTATCATATAAAAACCCTTATACATGCAGGAAAGTATTCAGAGATATGCTTGGAAAGTGCGTGCTTTGCACAAAGGAGAAAATTTTCTTCGCTGAATTATCCCTCCTTTTCCTTATAACTCGAAGGACAAATGTAATTGAAAGCTGTTCCGTACAGTTTCATGTTTCTGCGTTTTTATAGTTTGTGTTACACAGTAAGATAACAATTGTTAAACCTTACAAAAGATTTCACTATGTTAGGAATGCAAATTAAGCTATAGTTTTCTACGAAAACTGTAACCTTCTCGTGACTTTGGATTGAAGTAGCTGTTCTATAAACTCCTATCTATGGGCTTGTAAACTAATTACTTCGACATATCAGTTATAAATATAGAGTGGAACTATATGCTAAGTTTAAAATTCACCTGCATAATCAATCAAGCATGATAATAATCTACTAGATTTATGGGAAACAAACTGTAGTAAAATTTCCATCTTGATTAACAAGTTCAATCATTGTTAGTTGGTTAAAGGCGATCGGCCGCTGGGTGATTGGGTTCGAATCTCACGTGAGACAACCAAATAACATCTACTAATGTGCACCACAATGCTGAGCTTCATAGCTTGGTTGCCACATTGCAAACATGATCGAAAGAATTCGATCTGCACTCAGAACTAGACAACATGAAATTGGTTGCACTCCCGTGACCAATCATTGTAATTATTTAGCAAACTTAGTTCCACTTGAGTGAACAGAACTACTTTTAATATGAATGTAGTCGAAGTGTTGTATGAATTTTTCTGTAAAATTTGTTGACAACTAAACAACTATACTCATAGAATTTTCAAAAGGCTTTATTCCTATGCCTGTATGCAGTTATTCTTTCCCAAGTAATGAATGTTATTGGAACTCTGATTAACCAATTACTTCCTATCATATCTTTGATTACATTCAAAAGAACAGACTTTAGTGACTAGTTCTTTCGATTTAGTGTTAAGTACTTCCAATTTCTATAATATCACTAGAAGATTGAATTAGTTAAGTTTTGTTCCTGAAGATTTTCAGTTTAATTTTTGAGGGAGTTGTGGAGATTTGGAAATATTTCTTGTTATTCATCGTAGACTGATATCAATCGGAGGAATGAAGGAAACCTGGGAGCACTGGACAGCTGTCTCGTCGTAGTATGGGACTCCTCGGCAGTGCTCACCCACGACCCTGCACTCCAGGGATCGAACTTACGACCTTCAGATTCCGCGGCCGGCGCATTACCATTGAGCCACTGGGTAAGAACCCAGTAGTCCATATTTCCAGTGCTCCCAGGTTTCTTTTGTTCCTCCAACTGTTGTCAGTTTACAATGAATAACATCTTGAAAGATTTCCAGTTTATTTTCATGTCATAAAACAAAAGATGTTTTCCGAACAGTCACTGTTTTCAGTGATATCATTCTCAAGCTGTACAATTGCATATAAATATTCTATTCACATGGTAACAAAAAAGCGACTGTTGCATGAAATATTTTGAACGAAGTTCAGATTTGATGATTAGTCAGGAGGATCGGAAAAAGAATCACGTAATGTTTGAAATAGTAGTGAGAAGAAGACTTACTAAGACCAGAGCAATATTTAGGTACTAAGTTAAATTATGTAATACGGAGAATGCGAAGAGAAATCAGAATTGTAGGAGTGGATTAAGGTAATGTGTGAGATCCGCGTGAAAAGATTTTGAGGATAAAAATATCCTTATGTTCATTGCAAATAAAGTGACTGGAAAAATTTCTTTCGAACGCAGAGTTTAAGCTTCAGCATATTAATTAACATTGCTTCCTCAGTCTGAAGAAGTTTTAGGCGTACACCTTTCATTAGAGTTGCATGAACTCTATAGACATTACTGCAGTTGTTATCTGGATTTACTGGGTGGTCATAATCTATCAAATGTTATAAAATGGAGCTGCAAAGTCTTCTTTTTTCTCGTTTGTGGAACCAGGCTGGTATACGTTCAGAAACGCATTTAGAAAGCCAATGCTGAGTACTGCCAATATACCTTACTACACAGGGGCGGGTAAATTGATAAACACACATCGAAGTGACCAAGGGAGTTAGCCTATCCTTTACGAATAAAATAAGCTTTAGGTAAATAGCGAAAGTTAATCTGAGCTTGGCAGCATAGAAAGTATTTTTCAATGAGCATGCCAGAAGGTTTCTTAATATATCTCATGATGTTTCTCCGTTAAACTGTAAGCTTATGAAAGGAGGGTTCTTAGCAGCCGTAGAAGGGAATGACTATTTGCTTCCAGTTTCATAGTTATATTAATGAAGCGTTCAAGATGCTGGTTTTCAGTCGAAACACCTTTGAAAGGGTTAAGTTTATCTTACAGTGTTTCATGTTGTTGATTCCAGTCATACTTTGAAAATGATTTACTTCCGATGTCTGCTGGGATGGGTAAAAGCCCGTTTTTTAAATGCATATAAGTAAATCAGCTGAACGAAGAAAAGAATTTTCAATCAGCTGTCCTTCAGATATTACACCTCTGACTGAATGACTGAATATCACTTTTGACCCATATAAACATCAATAACACAATCATATTCTACTTTTAAGATCTTTGCCCAATTTACTTCTTAAGAAAAAGTGAGTCATACCAGAGTTGTAATTAAGCAATCTTGAGTATAAACTGGCTGACAGAATTGAGTGGATTGACTGGTTAGTTGTGTTTTAGGTTGAATAAGAATACTCTTTTTTCCCATGTATTGAACCTATGTAATGAATGTCGATTTACAGACATCTTAACATTAATATTAATAGTATGATTGCGTCCCATTCAACAGTCAAAGTAACCGACTACCTCTAATCATTAGAATGACTAAACTTGGGGAAAAATGTTTACATTTTTAATATTAATTTTGTCTGAAATTTTCAAAATACGAAGAGAAAAGCGGGAAATTCAAGACCTTCATTGTAACATACTGTAGTATATATTATGCAAATAAATTATTGTACATCATTCTTAATGCCGATGACTTTATAAGTCACTAAAGGACTAAATTACTGCTGAAAATCATTTCACTAATAGTTTGACATCCTCTGAGCTTTGGTATTTTTCCGCGGACGTTTGATCACCAGGCTTGGTAACATGTTCAGCACTAACTTCTAAGAAAATAATTAACACCAGCATATAGAGTAGCTCAGGGTCAAAATAGTTATTTTGCTTGCTATTGGATGATTGATACTTTCATACAATCGGATTTCATTGGTTAACGTCGTCACCTGCATAGCTTGAAGACTGGATGATACGTGTTCGAACCTGTGAGAGTAAATTTCCTTAAAATTTGAAAAGCCTGTTAGAATTCGCAGCCTCTTGATAATTGACTCGAGATTCTTTATGTCAGAAACTTGAAAGAAATAACTGAGGTATTTAGAAAATAGGATGACATCGATTGTTCTATAGCACCGATTTACCTACAAAAATAATCTATGCATTTTCATACTAGTAATGCACCATTATTTTATTAATAATTCTCTTTAACACTACCCTTTATGCATATATAGGCTTCAAATCTATACATCATGACAAATAGACAGTTGTTTCGTCTACCAGTAACAAGATGCTTTGAATATAAAACATTCAGTGAATGCCTTCAATCAAAAGATCCACATTGTGGTTGGAATTGGCCTGAAGGTAGATGTTCAAGTGGTTATCTATTTGATTCAACTATACAGATTAATCGTTTAAGTACATTCTCCCCATCAGTTGATCATAGACAGCATAGTCATCATAATCAATGTCCATCTGAAAGTTATACAATGAATAAAAATAAAGATAATTCATGGACTCCATGGTATGATTGCAGCTGGATTAATTCACAACAGATAATTGATCAAATCCCGATAACAATTGATGATCATAATGATATTGACATGAATGACAATATTACTGATTACATTGAAATGAATCAACTAGGCAATTGTCAATGTCGTGTTTGTATTAGTCGAACTCATTGCATTTTTGGTATGCAACAAGTGAAAAATTGTACCCGTAAGTTTTTCAAGCTAGCTATGTCAATGTTATTGCATTGATTACTTGAAATGGTCATATGCTTTAACCCTAGAGCAAATAACTCATCATCATAGTTCATATTAAGTTTAGTATAAATGAAGTTTTGTAGCACTAAAGTTATCTTGATTAACGAAAATCCACCAATGGCTTACTAACATAACGATATACCAAATTTAATCTAACCAATAAAATTATAACTTGGTCTTATTTCTTCTGTCTCGTGACTTATCAAAAACTTACAGTGTTTTGAGGGAGTTGTGGAGATTTGGAAATATTTCAAGTTGTTATTCATCGAAGACTGACATCAGTTGGAGGAACAAAGGAAACCTGGGAGCACTGAACAGGTGTTTCATCCTAGTATGGGTCGCGGGTTCGATCCCTGCTGGTGTGGGGTCATGGGTGCGCACTGCTGAGGAGTCCCATACTGGGACGAAACAGCTGTCCAGTTCTCCCAGGTTTCCTTTGTTCCTCCAACTGATGTCAGTCTACGATGAATAACAACTTGTTATAAAGAGTGTGTTTTAATCAACACAAGTATAATTTATGCATTGTGACAGAGTGTAATCAGGTATTAGTCTATTGATTTTTCGACGTACACCACGATTCAGTATGACTGACTAGATTGTGTTTGGAAAACAACCCATTATCCTAGATAAGAGTAATTTGAAGCGTCGTTTTAAAGTCTTTATTTTAAGCGGTAGATAAAAAAAACATACGAAAAATTTAAAAGGGATTTTGAGCTAAAGTTCAGTAGTCTGTCTGTTTCTTCATGTTATTGTTGATTAATTTAGAGTTTTTCCAGTTGCTATCAGCTTGCAGTGTAAACCAATATTCTATTCTAGATTTTTGAAAAAAATGTACAACCAATGAGTTTTATTCTAAACTTTTAGTTACCAGAACCCATTAAAAAATCAGCTGACTAATAACACATGTATATCAACCGTCATTTATAGCATTAAAGTATATGAACGACAAACGTTTTTGTCTTTTAAACAGTGACTATTTGTTGCTGGTTGGTGATATCCACATTTCAAAGATACCTCATATACACCCTTTAACAAAGTACTTCGTAGCGTATTTCTATACTTCTTACACTTTCATTATACCGCAGCAAATAATTACATTTGATCTACGTCTCCACTGATTATCATTATATTTTTAAAGGTATATCTGTGCCATATTGATCTTCATGACCGGTAGAGGAATCTAGTGCGCGTGTTCTGTTCTGTTCGGAGCTCATCAATCAATATCAACATAGGACCAGGCATTACTGCGTAACACTCCGAGTTGCCACAGCTCAGTACAGCACATCAAGTAGAAAGGTGGTGACGTGAAGGAGAAGATAAGAGAATGCAGTCAAAAGAAATATAAAGTATGAGAAGAAAGAAAGGAATAATGACAAAATGGTTAGATTCGATATAGCGTCGTAAAAATGAGGATAATGTCTGTATACATCTGCGACACTGACATCGGTTCTGAGCCATATCACCCAAAGTCAGTCTCCAACCACTGGTTCCTCTTGTCCCGTGGACCCCAACCATCTAGTCTGCATCGCTCCACATGGCTCAAACCAACAGTCAGAGACTTCATACGTTGGTGTCATGGTTTAACCTGGCCACCTCGGGCCTTTTTCCAGCCTGAACCTACTTCAACCAACATTGTGTGACGAGGCAATCGGTGACTAGGCATACGTAGTAGGTGTCCCAACCATCTCAGTCAATGAAGATTCATAACCTCGTCAACTCATTTATCTCTTCCTAAAACTCTATACCTGACTTCTGAGTTACTCACATGCTGACACCACGGAATACGGCCTACGCTATGAAGGCTAGGGTAGTCAAACACTTGAAGCCTTTTTATATCTTTCAATGGCCATGTTTCATAACCATACAGCAGAACAGACCGGACTGCTGTGCAGTACATGCGACCCTTAATGGACAAACGGATATCATGATGGCGACATAGGTGGCGTGAATTGGCAAAAGCCAATCGAGCCTTTTGTATCAGCACAGAGATTTCATTGGCAACTGACCCACCAGGGCTGATCTTTGGAGCTCGTCAGCTAGATGTCACTCCACCTCAGTGAGTGTTGTTCCCACTGGAACTCTAACCCACTACCCATCGCTTCAAATGCCAGATATCTCTGTTAATCGAGCATTCTCTCATCCTATACGAAGTACACGCTGTTGGAAACGTCCAACAGTAGACTTCAAGGAAAGCCAAGTAATTATCATCTTCATGCTGAGCTAAGAAGCTTCTCTACTACTACTACTCTACTACTGAAAAGTGTTTTGAAGAAACTCCTCCACAATCAAATCCAAAACGTAAATAAGATGATAAATTCATGGAAATGAAGCAATAAATTGGTGCTTTTTAGAAACATACTTACTTTCTACCGCCTCAGATGCAATCTAAATACTGGTGGTGTTTTTCCTAGCACACCAGTGCTTAGTCAATCTGTTCAAAACATGCTTCTAGCCTTCATCTCGCTTCTATGTGGAATTTATATGCGATGAAAGCTTATAACACAATAATGTTTTCCTTCATAACAAAACACGTAGATGAATAAAAACATTCACAAGATTCTTGGAAAATATTATATAGATAATAATTATCCTCTTAACTTACTCATATAGTACATTCATATTCTGAATAGCAATCTTTTCTGTGAAGTGAAATAAAATGGCGGAAAAGGAGTAATTAGTTTGTTGACAGAAAGGCCAGAAGTTCATTAAGGATCCCTCTTCTTTTGATTTAATTCCTTGAGGTTATATAACTATAATCTTTGAATCCTGGGTCTTACAATGGTCTTAAAAAGAAGGTTGAAAAGTTAAGAACCCAAAAATACTCTCTCCCCACTGGTTACATGCTTACTACGATTGTCTTTTGTCTGGATGACTGTCCTTTCATGTTACGTAGCTTCGTTTTCTAAATACATTAATCCTCTTAGTTTCAGTACTCTCCTAAGGTTTATCCCCGTCCTCCACAGCACCACATTTTTCTTCATATTATGTTCAAAACCACTATGTATTCAAATCAACTCTATCCTACTTACTACCGCAGTGGGCGTTGCTGATAAGTATGGATATAAGTAGTATATGTTAGGAGGGTGACAGAAATCAAAGGGAATTATCAGCATTGGACAATGATCCCGCCAAGAGAAATGCAAGACACAAGGCAAGAGTATGAAGAGCAAATTAAGAAAGAAGCAGAAGATGAAATGAAGCATAGTTTGCAAATGACAGTTTTAGTGCAAGGCATACCATATTTAACGACTACTGTCCCACTTGCAGACAATCAACACACCTTTCTTCGTACCTATCTTCTTATTTCATCCGACTGGTGTAGATGCCTGTGGACTTGTTGAAGGTCCCGTGGCCTCCGGTGCTCGAGAATCGAGACGGGGACTTTGAGTCGGTAGCGGAGCTGATGATAGGTACGAAGGAAGGAATGTCTATGGTCAACAAGTGGGACAGTAGTCGTTAAATATGGTATGCCTTGCACTAAAACTGTCATTTGCAAACTATGCTTCATTTCATCTTCTGCTTCTTTCTTAATTTGCTCTTCATACTCTTGCCTTGTGTCTTGCATTTCTCTTGGCGGGATCATTGTCCAATGCTGATAATTCCCTTTGATTTCTGTCACCCTCCTAACATATACTACTTATATCCATACTTATCAGCAACGCCCACTACACTACTACAATAACAAAACCATAACTATGTAACTATAAGAGATTCCAAATGTTAACTCATAAAATCAAGATCAAACATCCGTTAAGAAGGGAATCATCGAAATGGATATTTTCACTGAACTTCTGACCTTTTTCCTGAAAGAAAGTGCATTTGAGTTGTTATTGCTTGACGTCAGTCAAATAAAAATCTATACATTGCACTAGTTGTTCAGTACAAAGTCCACTTATATTCTGAAGGTATTTTACACTTATACGCATTGAAAAGTCAGCAATCAGGTGTTTCAACTTTTTTTCTTTTCTTAATAGGCTATGATGAGAATTGGCTTCCTTGGTCTACTTGGAGTAGCTGTGACCTAATCAACAATATTCAAGTGAGACAAAGACAATGTCGGCCAAATGCAATCTGTTCTGGTATTACTATGGAACAACGATCATGTCTAGATGATGCAGTTTGGTTTAAGCAATCTAACTCCATACCTAAATCAGGTAAAGACAATGTCAACAACGCACACTTATTCAAAAATAATGCTTAATGTCATTTGATGTACTACTGAGTAGTTTTTTAAACAAGCTTAATGTTGATGCCTATTAACGATCATAAAAACCAAGTTCTGATAGAATTTCGGAACAATACCATCCATTATAAATACGACAGTGTTCATAGTACATATTTGTTAGTAATAAGCGTGACAGCCTAAAACAAAATCATGCTTCTTGTCATTCACTGCATTCTTATGAGCTATTCTTTAGGTTACCTTCCAACTCTGAGCTAAAAAACAGCATTTACTACTCATTAGTAGATATTATCCATTCTGATTCATATTATGAACAAACGTTTTATTATTTGGCTGTACAATGTTTAATTTCAACAGGTCATTTTACAACGAGTAGATACTTTCACATGAAGATCAGTTTACATCTTGCTAAGATATTTAAGCACTTCAATATTATTTGTCTCATCTCTTACGACTAATTTGTGGAGCTGAAGCTCATTGGTTTAACCACTTGATTTTCAACCAGTCACCCATGGGTTCGAACCCAGCTCCACCTGCCGATGTTTAGCCAGGTGGAGCCACAATACACATATGGCTTCCTATCTACTGCACGGATGCACACAAAGACACCGAGTGAATTTTGATTCCGTACTTTTTCCATTAATTCAGAAGAGTATCTCTACTGAGTTACAAGTATGATTATGTAATTATTGAGATAGTTTTTCTTAGGGTTCAGTTATCAAGGGTTCATAAGTGGTGGCTCGGTAACCTTATTATATTATAATCCTGAGTGAAATCCCTTAACTTCGAACAAAATCAAGGAGTAAGGTAATCAGGAACTATTCATCTGAATGTCAACAGTAGGTTCATTCTCTTCAATCAACCTCAAACCTATTAGTGTGATATCTGAAACTGTACGCTTAGTTGTGAAATCAGTTTAAAGCAACTAAAGATTTGAGAAACTACTCAAAGAAATTTGTTTCCACTTATTTCTCTTGATCACATCAATGGAAAAGAAAAACATGATTAATAAATTTAAAATGGTAGTGCTTGAGAATAGCTAAGTAAGTTGCTAAACTCAGTAAAAAAAACTCCAACCCCCATTTTTCCACGTAAACACGAAAATTACATCGCATAATTTTCTGTTTAATTAAATTACCATAAGTGTCATCCATCAAATTGCTTGATCACAGAGATCATGACTTTCTTGTAGGACTTCATAGAGTCGATCTCAAAAACCCTTCACTAAAGAGTAACCTTTTGTTTTGACTGATATTGGAATTCAGAAAGTACATTTTATCTTGTTTAAGACTTTCTATTTGTATTTACCTAAGATCTGGTAGATTAGAGTATAAGTGATAGCACCATAACTCGCTACTTAGTGGCAACCAAATAACGAAGCATAAAACAAAACTGATTATATTATGATTTCGTTTCTAACCACCACTAAATAAGTAACATCAGAATGGAAATTACTGCAGTGTCGATGTAAGTGAATAGGAGTTTCCTCATCCTAATCAAGTCTCATCATCACGTAAACAACCGTAAGTCAAAAAATGTTAATCATAAAATGGAATCTTCATTCTAACAGTAAAATTCATTGCTTCCACAACTCAGTAAATTGATTGAACAATGCTTTCAGTTGAAAACATTTTTCTGTTCTGTCAGACAATCATCAATATACTTGAAATTTAATAAATGTCAGGGAACTTAAAGTTTTAGAAAGAATTCACTTAGAAACAAACCACCGTACAAAAAGTCAAAATTCATCCACATCAGTTACAAATTTAACCAAGCTGACAGGTAAGAGTATGAGGTTATTTGACTACGACAGAAAGACAGATAACGTAAGATGCCACTGCAATGAAGCATGTTGAAAAATTACCCTTCTACCATTACTTGAGAATATTGAAACAGTGTCATAATAGCCTTGTGAAATAAACTTCTACTACCTAAATGTGCTAATAAATTTCATAAATTGCAGTATACGAGGATTATAAAGAAGGAGAATGCTGCTCTCTACTCATTAGTGTTCATAAGTAAAAAAATATATGTGAGCTTCGGTAGCCTCAATCCCTCTTAGATTATGCAACCTATTTATATTCATCGACATCATCTATTATTACTATTTGTCCCTTGAGTTCCTAATGGAACATACGGCTTCACTAGCACCTCTCCACAACACTCTCTTCTCTGAAATATTTTCAACCTGGATCCACCACAGCCCACAACCTCTCATTCCCTCCTCACACAATCTCCTCCATACCACCCTCACCTTGGACGCCTAACTCATCGCCTCCCATCTGGGTTCCAATCGACACCCTGGCCTGGCATGGCGCGTGATGTCCCAGTTGGCCTTCTCAGTGTTTGTCCAATCCAATCCATCTCCACTTACTTCCACTGCATATTTGTTCACCGATATCTTCTTGGTTGATTCATCACCAGCCAGCCAGCCAGCCAGCCAGTATGAGTTCCTTGTTGCTTATTCACACCATTATGACCATCTCATCCTCAGTAACGAGCCAGAGTAGGAGGCAGTTGTTCATGAATGTCTGTAGTTTGTTGGAAATCCCTTTCGTAACGCACCAAGTCTCCCAACCATCACTTGGAAGCACTGGCTTGACTGGCGTTGGTGTTGAAAATCCACATATTGTTCACGCTTTATACTGAGTGCACTGCAATAGATCTCAACACTGGTTTCAGGTTAGTGAACGCCTGTCTTACTGTCTTTCCGATCCTGGCTACTTTGACATCTTCGTCTGTGCCACCACCATCTGTAGTTGAAATAGTGCTGCCTGAGTGGTAGGTGAAAGAGACCACTTCCTTCAAGTTTCTCCGGTTCATGGTGATGGTGATTGCAGCATGTTGTTGTTGTTGTTGTTGTTGTTGGTGGTGGTGGTGGTGGTGGTATTGGTTGGGTATGTTCATCACCTCTGTCTTCCCTATGTTCACTTGATGTCCCGTCTCCCTTCGCTGCCCTGCCTCACCTCTTCTGTCAACTTGTTAGTTTTCGCCTGTAGATATTCGAGTTTGTGTGACAAGATATCAGACACAAGTCATCACTCACTGGCGAAATCCAAATCTTCTAGGTTGTTTTCCGTGGTTCAACCATTGTATCCTCCTCTTCTCACAGCTCCTGACTGTTTGTTGCATGATCCAATCCAGTCCACTACAATCAGGAATATCATGGGTGATAGTAGGTTACAGCCTTGTTTTACCCCTGTCTTCACTTCGATAGCATCACTGAGCTTCCCATTGTGAATTACTTGTCATGTGGTGTCTTCATATAGTTGTTGAATGAGGCTGATAAAGGTTTGTTGCATTCTATAGTGTTGTAGCAGTTGCCAAATTATTTGTCGGTCGACGCTGTCAAATGACTTCTCAAAGTCGATAACTAAATTAAGAGAATCGAATAAGTCAAAACACACTCACTAACTTTGTGTATATTTATGCATCAGGTAATAAGGCAAACCTATTTTGTGTACCAGCTACACCACAGTAGGTGGAGTGGTGTTCGAACCAGTGACTCAGTGGTTGAAAGTCAACTCCCTAAACTAATGAGCCACAGCCCTAAAATTAGTCGAATGACTACACGAATATATCTACTCCTATTATGTTTAAATTTTCGATAACTCTCAATGGTCATTTTAGTAGAACCACTTAACTGTTCTCATTTTTCTCTTCCTTCGCTTCAGCTGGTTACATTAATCCTCGAGTCAGTTTTACAGGTCAAACAGATGGTTTTACACTTACCCATTTAATACTTGTCGCAATATGTGGACTGTTAACTGGTAGTTTATTAACAATCATATTATTCTGGATATGTAGACGCCATCGACTATCATTCAATGAAAACGCAGTTATTCAATCATCATCAAGTAAAAACACATAAAAATTATTTCCCCACATTGTGCAAACCATTTACCTTATGAAAGTGAACAGACTTGTTTAACTACTAGTGAACCATTAAGTTATAAATCATGGAGTTTAATTGATGAGAAAGAACCTGTTTGGTGTAATAAATCAGATAAGACAATGGCGACAGTGGTAGATACACGTTATGAATACCTGCCATCTAGTCATATAACGTCAGTACCTGACAATAGATCGAATAAATCAAGTAACCGGAAACTGATGGAAGTACATTGTTCAAACGCTCCATGCTACGATATACCAACTAATACACATCTCCTGTGCAGTTCACCATCACCAACATCAATGATAAGTAGTCAATCAACAGGATCAACTTTATTGAAAGACAAGTTCATATATGATTCTTATTTAGAACAAAACTTGAATCTTTTACAAGATGATAAAAATAACCTAATTAATATTACTTCAGACAATAGAATTGAAAATTATAATGAAAATTTAGGAAAATTATACTTAACTGGTTATTTATACACACCAATAGAACCAGTATTACACGAAAACATAACAATATCAACTACGAAAGTCACTACAATGCCAACAACAAAATTCAACGTAAAATTACCTCAACATCAACAATGTGAAATTAAGCCAACCAAAATACCTTCACATATTCAAACAAATAGTAGTCTTGTTATTCCACAACCATTATTCATACAACCTACATATTCACCATTTATAAAAGCTGAAAATAATAATAATAATTCTGCTTTCATTGCAACTACGGTGACAACAACAAAAAGTATTACTGGGCAAACTCTTACAATCACAGAAAATCCAGGTCATATTTCATAGTCTTGTTTCTCAGATACATACTTCTCTACCTATAAAAATCCAAAATTATATATATATATATATATATATATATATATATATATATATATATATATATATCCAAAACAAACATTATACATGTGTAAGTCACACAGTTTCTCTTTCGCTTTACCTATTCATGAAAGAGTTGTTAAAAACTATACTCGACCAGCTGTTTTCTCAAGTGTATTTTGTCATTTACGTGTATATTCTTGTTAGTTGACTTCAATCCATTTAAAACTCTATTCATTATCATTATTACTGTTAGTATTCTATATATTATTATATACTACTAGTAGGTTTGTTAATCTAAATGAAAATGTCGTTTTTGGTTATTGTTTAAGAGTTCAAATTTAAGAACTCATCTCAATAAAACAATCATTTACTTTATTTTTCAACAATAGAAATGTATACTTATTGAAATCTTTAGCTATTATTTACTATGTAAAGTTTGTTTATTTCTACAGAAGAAGTACTGCATGCTGAACATGATTTGTGCTTTTCTACCAATCACTCAACATTTTATAGGATGATATCATCTTTGAATCAATCAATTTATCAATTTTAACAAACAGAAAAGTTGTACTGAGTTGAAGAAGTTTCAAATTATGTGTAAATTGTGCTACTGCATCTTTACACCTTACAATCTGTAGTCAATATCATCATAGAACAACGTCAGGTAATGGAGGGCATAATTCAGGATTACTACTAAACTTTGGAGGCGGTGATCCAGTAATCCTGTAGAGCTAAAGGGATCAAGTTAATAAGTGTAACCGTTTAAAGAAATACTAATAGTTCATTAGTTGAAATAAGCTCATTGTGTTGTTAATAAATAAGCCATTAACAGATTCTTTGAGCTGGTTTTATAGTCTTTATTATCATTGCCTACTCCGTTTGTGCTGCATTGAAAATTTCCCACCAAAGACTAAGTAAGTCTGTAACCACTATTATTCATCCACCTGTACATAAGTGAAAGTGATTGACTAGTAGAACCACTTAATCACCACTAATCCAGTGGTAAAGCAGAAAGAATTGTGGTCATATTTAAGCGAGCTTTATTAAAAAGTAATGAAAAAACGTTGGATACAATCATCAACAGATTTCTAGTAACAAACTGAAGTGCATAAAATCGTAGTGCACCAAATGGAAAATCCCATCCAGAATTCATATTTGACTGCACCATTAAAACCAAATCAAAACGAAATGAGGTCAGAGATTACAGACTAGTGATAAAGATGTTGTCAGACCATACCAAGATAAAAACCTATGGCGAATAAATAGAAGCAGTCAAACAGGAAAAATGTGTTTGATACTTTAAGAAGTACACATCGGTTCAGAGATCTGGGGAACACATTTAAATTCAAATAAGACGTAGATTTCATAATCACAGTAAAGCAGATGTATGCCACAGCTTATCACTAGGTCCATTACTAGACAATCTACAGAAGTCAAAAGCTGAATTACATCCTTCTAACAGTAAGACACTGCCACACTTCCACTATCCCAAAACTATTACAACAGTATAGAATCCTGTATAGAAAACAAGTCAAGAATATCGAAGAGAAAAATAAAGATACTGAGAGAAGCGAATAATTATTTCTTAAACTCACTGTATAAGCCAGAGATTTCCCACCCAAAATACCCTTTACGATTATTCACAGCATACTGAACATTCGTATAAAACTACGTGTTCATATATATGGACTTCATATAAGCTGAATATCTTCCTAGAAATGCGTAGAAAATATTAAAGCAGTTGAAAACACATAAATACCTTTACTTTCTGCAAATTATTTAAACTTACGAATCAATATTTTATTTATTTGGCACTTCTTTCGGTTTTCAAGGAACCCTCTGACCCTAAAGGATGAAGTTTAAGAGTTATTTTTCAAAACTCCACAAGCTTGTATCAACCAGTCACTTACAAGTGAAGGATACTGAGAGAAAAGACTATTCATTGAATGCATAGACCTTGATCTGTAGCTACACTGACAATAACTTCACTGGAAATGTAATAAGATTTCATAAAGTCTGCTTAAGATTGTTGGTTACATTTTCCTTATCCCTAACATAAGATTTGCATAAAAAATTTTCCTAAGATAATAAACTCGTACTTTACAGGTCAGACTATTCAATTCATATAATGGCTGTTATTTCACTGAACGTCACCAAGATAACAAGTATTTTCATGAATTCAATGAAATTCATTCAATTTCAGAGAAAATGATGAAAGACTCATGTGCAATCTGTACAAATGGTTCTAACAAACCTTATAATTAAAATGCCCGCTAATCTCTACCACTTCACTTATCGTCTTTATTCTCCTTAATATCATTAAAACAACTTTGACACCTTGTGTTGCTCAAAATTCACTTCACCATCAAAGAAAACCCTAGATGTACATCAAATTAGCTGATATATGGAAAGAAATTGGTTTACCCTGGACACAGTGTTAGCTGCGCATATTACATTTTCAGTCGGCATATACACCTTTAAGAATCGTCTAGCACAAGTTGTGCTATGAAAATCGATCGAAATTCACTAAGCAACCCTGTGGACACTTGTGTAGTAGACAGTGAGGCATATCTGTTGTGTAAAGGCTAATAATGTTACTTCGCTGCCCAAAACGTGATAAGTGGAGCGGTGCTCGAACCGGCGTCAACCTCCCAATCCAATAGGTTAAAATTCACTGATGATGCTACAGCATAACCTGATGGCTTGTGGCATAAACATGTTCCTATGTCTAGTCAATAAGCATTTGTTACTTTACGAGCTTGCATTTGCTGGAGTAGGCACGGATAGAAAACGTTTGTAGTCACAATATGAAGGTCGATTCCTTGTCAATAAACTTACTAGAAAATATTTCATCATCAACGTAAACAGAAAACAAGAAATTGTATCAATCAGCCGACTGAAACCAGCTTTTCATAACAGCGAAGTAAAGGTTAGTCCTTTAAAACTTCAAAAACAAAATATGTCTGTCTGAACAACCTGTGATAGTGATCCCTACTATCTGATTCTGTAGTATATATAATCGTCGACAAATAAGGATAGCAAAAAACTACTTTCTTTTCACTGACTGGCTCTCAATAAAAATTTTTCAAATAATAATAATAGTACAAAGAACAGACGCTTAAAGTGAAGAACAAAGTGCTTGATATAAGCATATTGATAATAGACCGAACATTTTTGATGAAACATCTAGGCACCAAAATACCACTAGGTTTGAAATAAGCAAGTGAAGCTGAGAATATTAGCTAAATTATCTGCTGAGGCATCTGCAGGTATTTCCACTCTTTTGAGTTTCATGCTATAGGTTAGGCAGCTGCTTGTAGACAAGATCTTTTTCGCGTCTGCTTTGTACTGAATGAAAGCCTCATACTCAGAGTCTGTAATTCAGCCATTTAAATACAGATACATTATAACCTCCACCCGAAAATAAACTGTTAACTTCAGAATAATGAATACACAGTTCTTCCAAAGGCAAGCTGTTCGGTACATTATGTACTATGGTTTATTGAGAAGATATTAATCACCTCATTACCTCAGTTGACAAATAATTCACTAGATTTCCAGCCTTTTGGACGTTTTCACTCATCAGCGTGTTTGATAAACCAAAAATAATATGATCTAATGACGAAAGCTGCTCAGGCATTTATGGAATGTCACCTCAGTCAGCTTTAATATTAGCTATCCAATTCCGGTTTTCCTGAATAATTGTATCCATTTCGGAAATAATTTTAAACGCTTTGATAATCAGTGTATGGAAAGTAATTCCTACCGCTTATAAACTGTAGTGTGTGGCACTCGCCTCATTACTGTTGGAGACGAAAGTCAAAGTACTAATCTTTGAGTTTTCACTAAAGCAGTATTATTTTCGAGAACTTCGCTTTATTTTCTCCCCGTTATAGCAGTATACAATTGGCTTTAACACAGTCAATATTTTCTTTGGGCCAAACAGGTTAAAGTTAGGCCCACTCACTATGGAAAACGTCGGACTAAATTTAGGGTCTGGCATGAGGTTTTGAAGTATCATCTTTGTGACTGGTCCGATGTGTTTCAGTGTTACGCATGTTGCCGTATTTTTAGTACACTTGACCGTAAACTCTTGCAATTTGCCCAATATGTAAGCCACTTTTCCGTATCGTTCTTACACATGTATGGGCTTCATATCTAGCCCAATTGACCTAACGTTCAACCTCATGTGAACTACATCTGTCTGCACATTAAATTTATGTCCCAAGTTTGTGCAAGGAAAACGTTGACTGGTAAGCGTTTTTAAGTCAACATGGAATTTTTTCCAGAGAAATGTCCGATTTCACTCACTAGATATGGCAGATTTATAACACTAGCTTTCAAATGGCAAGGGATAAAATGACATGCAAATAAACTGGGTCAGAGTAACTGAAAATCACCTACAAAGGATGATTTTAAAGGCTACCCTAGTAACTGATTCGACAGCTAAATTACATGCCTTCATCTTTATAAAAAAGTACTTTTCCAGGTGAAATACTAAAGCCCGATTATTCATTTCAGTTGTCTCTAGGGTAGCCTTGAACATCACTCCATGCAAATCTAAGTCAAGTTGTGAAAGATACCGCGTTGGGTAAATTAGTAAACTAGCCTATTTTGGTATAAGTTAGGAAATATGCATTCTAATAGGACTGTTGACTTACAAGCAGTGTGATACAACCTGTTCAGAAAGTTTGAAATCATTTGAGAACCTTGCGGTAGTGTCACATACATCTTAAAGACTGAATATCTTCATAAATAGGAGATTTATCTGACTAGGAATTACCAAAACGAATCCAGTAGAAGTTATTTAAAATGAACTTAAGACGCCATATGCCAAGTAATTCACAATGGGAAGCTCAGTGATACTTTTGAAGTGAAGACAGGAGTAAAACAAAGCTGTAACCTACTATCACCCATGATATTCCTGATTGTAGTGGACTGGATTAGATCATGCAACAAACAGTCAG